GCCCCTGACTTAACTTTGACTTTAGGTAATTTATGTAATTCTCATGTACCTCTCCTATATTAGAAGTTCCTTAGACTAGAGGACCAGGTGAAGGAAAGATGTTAATGGGGCAGGATTGAGAGCATGATGGCCAGGCCTTTTTTTGCCTGTATGACCTCTGGTGGGTTCTTCCCTCTCTAAGATTCAGATTCCTTGTCTGTAAAGTATGCATCCTCCCCCCACCCACCCACCCCTTTTAAAATTGATTTTAGAGAGAAAGGAAGGAGAGAGAGAAACATCAATTTGTTGTCCCACTTATTTATGCATTAATTGATTGATTCTTGTATGCACTCTGACTGGGGATCGAACCCCTAATCTCGGAACGATGCTTTAACCAGCTGACCTACCCGGCCAGGGCAGTGTGCATTCCGTTTCTCAACTGTGCCTTTGTGACAGGGTGGCTACTCACCGCAGGGTCTGAAGCGTGGCCAGTGTGGTGGAAGCAATGTCAAATGGCAGAGCCAGGAGTGGCAGGCACCATCGTGGAAGTTTCTGGTTCCTTGGAGCTGGCCATGGAACACCCCACCATCACCAGCCTGGACTTCCCATTGAGAAACTATCTCAAAACAGAAAATCCTTATTGTTTTCCTTCATTTTTGACTTTAGCAACCCCTGAACAGACTACTTGTTCTGGGCCAGAAGGAGTGGGGACTATCTGCAAGGGAGGGAAACAAGGTGGGCTGTTTGATGCCCTTCCACTCCCTACATCCACAAATAAATTGGCTACATTACCTCTTAAGCAACAAAGGAAAGGGACTAATAAGTAACATTTATTAAGCTCTTACTCTGTGCCAAATCCTGTTCTAAGTGCTTTTCAAGAACTGATTGAATTTTCACTATAGCCCTATGAGGTAGGTTCTGCATTTATCCCTGTATCACCCATGAGGGAATTGAAGAACGAGGTTAAGTGGAGGGCTTGGGGTTTGAGTGCTACCCCCTGCTGGCGTGTCTGCACAAACATAGATGGAATATTCACATCCTGTGCCACCTCCGCAAAAAGGAGCATGGACTAGGGTGGCCTGTTTCCACAGAGCCCAATTTGCCCTTGGATTTTTGCCACAATCCAGTACCATTGTCCTACTACCCCTATATCATTGTCCTCCTAACACACTTTCTGTGTTGTGTGATTCTAGATTGGGCCTGTGATCAGAAACAAATTGTTTTAAAAGACCATATTAAGGCAATCGAGGAATTTGATCAGGGACTGTTAGATCTAGAGCTGTGCTGTTTAGTAAGGCAGCCCCGCATCACCTAAGGCTATTTACATTAAAATGAATTACAAGTAAGTAAAGGTACACGTTCAATTTCTCAGTTGCACTAGCTACATTTCAATTGTTCAATCCCACATGGACTGCACAGATATATAACACTGTCACTGCATAGAGTTCCACTGGATGCATGGTCAGATTCAGGTCAGGTTTTGGCAGGATGACGTCACAGGTGCATTTCGTCTGGGCAGGAGGTAGGTGGTGGTAGGTTTTTCTTTTGGTATGAAATCATGCAGTGGACACATATACTGTGCACCTGATGTCAGGTTCCTCATCAGTTTTACACCTCAGTTTTGCAGCCTTCAGGGATCATTGTCTAGATCTGTTCTGTTTGGTCGATTAGCTGAGATTCACTTATAAGGCAGAACTTTCCTTCATCCTCTATAACTTGGTACCCACTTGTATGAGGGAAGCAGGATAAATGCTGAATTCTTGCCAGTTTACAGGAGAATGGGTTGGGTTTGTTTTAGTACTATTATGAATGCACAGATTTTGATTTTGATTTTGATATCCATTGGGCTTTTAAAATTTTATTATTGTTATTTTTTAATCCTCATCTGAGGAGTGAGGGTATTTTTTCCATTGATTTTTTATAGAGTGAAAGGGAGGGGGTGAGGAGAGAGAGAAAGAGAGAGAGAGAAACATTTATGTGAGAGAGAGGTACGCACCCTTGACAGGGAATTGAATCTGAGACCCTCTGGTGAGTAGGCTGATGCTCTAGCCATTGAGCACACTGGCCAGAGCTGGACTTTTTTTTTTAATGCTCACTTGTCTCATCTTTAGCTAGTGGGCGCCGCTTAGGGTTTGCTCTCATGTCCTTTGCCATGACTTCTTTATTTTATTTTTTTAAAATATGGAATGCTTGACAAATTTGCGTGTCATCCTTGTGCAGGGGCCATGCAAATCTTCTCTGTATCATTCCAATTTTAGTGTATGTGCTGCTGAAGTGAGCACTGACATGACTTCTTTAGAAGCTTCCTTACATTCTGCTCTCAAAAGATGCTCCTGGTTCCCCTGGCTTATTTCCTGTCCAGAACTGGAATCAGCCATTTCTCCAGGAGTCTTGGTTATGGTAGTTTGAGACCACAGTTGTGTTTGGAGTGCTTATTGCTGCTGTGGTGTCATTTCCTCTAGGCATTTTCTGTTGATATAACTATATAAATGGGGAGGGGTTGTTTACTTAAAAGAACATATATCATAAGTTTGTATTGATACTTCCAGTTCAAATGTAAAAATTCTGAGTTTTTACTTCTTTGATTTTCTTATTTTAGAATCTTTTTTCTTTTTTGCTGGCACCTAATGACATAACCCTTATTACTTATTTGCTACACCTACAATAGTTTCATAATAACATTAATAATGTAGATTTTCTTTTGTATTTTATATTATCCTTAGTATATATACTAATAAGAATATACGGTCATATCTCTGTGTTTTAAAATCACATGAAGTGGTCTGATCAGCACACATACACTCTTAGATTTGTGGGCTTCATTTTATTCTTGCTTTTTTAGGATTGCTTTTATTTTTATTTTTATTGGTTTATTTCTTTTCTAACCACATAAAACATTTACATGTTTTCCAAATTCAAACCTGTAAGACAAGGTAAGTTCAGAGAGAACAATCCAGCTTCTAGTCCTGTCCTCAGCACCCTTTTCTCTGCCTCTCTTTTCAAGTAAGTATTTCTATTAGTTTTTTGTTTAGTCTTCCTCTTTGTTTATTTACTTTATTAATTTTTATTTAAAAATCTTATTATAATAACAGTATATTATTATAAAAATACTAGAGGCCCAGTGCACGAAATTGGTGCACTGGTAGGGTCCCTAGCGGCTGCTGGCTGCCAGCTGGGTACTCCCCCCCACGTCCCCCCGCCAGGGCCTCCCTCCCTTACCCCAGCCGCCTGCCACCTCCAGGGCCTCCCTCCCTTCCCCTGGCTGGCCCTGCCCCCTGGTCAAACTCCCAGTCGAGGGGACAATTTGCATACTACGCTTTTGTTATATAGGATTGCCTTATATGATTATATAAGACATAACTATAATAAAGTAATATATAGTTATACCAGCATATTTTCTAATATATAACATTATAATCTTATATATGGTTATATTATTATATATAATTACATATGACAATACTATTTTATATAATATAATCCTTTAATATAATATTATTAAGCTACTATTTTACTCTTATTGTTACTATTTTTTATTATAAGGACATGCATTATATTAACATTCCCCCTTTCTTTTTTTTTTTTTTTTTAAATATATTTTATTGATTTTTTACAGAGAGGAAGGGAGAGGGATAGAGAGCCAGAAACATCAATGAGAGAGAAACATTGACCAGCCGCCTCCTGCACACCTCCTACTGGGGATGTGCCCGCAACCAAGGTACATGCCCTTGACCGGAATCAAACCCGGGACCCTTCAGTCCGCAGGCCGACGCTCTATCCACTGAGCCAAACCGGTCTGGCAACATTCCCCCTTTCTTAAAAAAATTTTTTTAAATCCACCCAGGTACATGTTTTTATTGATTTTAGAAAGAGCGGAAGGGAGAAGGAGAGAGAGAAACATCAATTGGTTGCCTCCTGTATGTTCCCCAGCATGAAGGCGCTGACCAAGATGGAACCTGCAACCTGGGTACATGCCCTGACATGGAATCTAACTTGTGACCCTATGGTGCTCAGGACAACACTCCAAATAGCTGAGCCACACTGGCCAGGGCAACATCCCCCCTTTCTTATAAAGTACTAGAGGACCGGTGCATGAAATTCATGCACTGGAGTGGGGTCCCTCAGCCTGGCCTGTGCCCTCTTGCAGTCCAACAGCCCTCAGGGGCTGTCTGCCTGCCGGCTTATGGTGGGCCTAAGTCAGCAGTCGGACATCCCTCTCACAGTCCGGGACCCCTTGCTCCTAACTGCTTGGCTCCTGCTCCTTAGCGCTGCCGTGGATGCAGGAGAGGCTCTTGCCACTGCTGCTGCACTCGCCAGCTGTGAGCCTGGCTTCTGGCTGAGCTGCGCTCCCCCTGTGGGAGCGCACCGACCACCAGGGGGCAGCTCCTCCATTGAGCGTCTGCCCCCTGGTGGTCAGTGCACATCATAGCGACCGGTCATTCTGGTTGTTCTGCTGTAACAGTACTTAGGCTTTTATTATATAGACTAGAGGCCCGGTGCACAAAAATTTGTGCACTGGGGGGGAGGGGAGTCCCCCCCAGCCCGGCCTGTGCCCTCTCGTAGTCTGGGACCCCTCGGGAGATAACGACCTGCTGGCTTAGGCCTGCTTCCGGGTGGCAGAGGGCAGGCCCAATCCCTAGGTGCAGCCCCTGGTCAGGCTCAGAGCAGGGCCGACTGGGGAGTTGGGGCGCCGCCCCATCATGCACAGAGCAGGGTGGATCGGGTGGTTGCGATGCCACCCTCAGTCACGCTCAGGGTAGGGCCAATTGGGGGGTTGGGGCACCGCCCCCTGTCACACACAGAGCAAGGCCCGTGGAGGGGGGTTGGGGCGCCACCCTCTATCACCCACAGAGCAGGGCTGATCAGGGGGTTGGGGTGCCGCCACTGTCACACTCGGGGCAGGGCTGATGGAGAGGTTATGGCTCTACCCTGTCACACACAGAGCAGGGCCCGTGGGGGGGGGGGGGGGCGTTGGGGTGCCACACCCTGTCACACACAGAGCAGGGCCGATCAGGGGGTTGGTGCGCTGCACCCTGTCAAACACAGAGCCACAGGGCAATCAGGGGATTGGGGAGCTCCCCCCTATCAGGCACAGAGCAGGGCAGATAGGGAGGTTGTGGCCCCGCCCCCTGTCACACACAGAGCCGCAGGGTGATCAGGGGGTTTGGGCGCTGCCCCCTGTCACGCTGATCCCAGTGCCAGGAGCCTCGCTGCTCCGCTGATCCCGGTGCCGGGAGGCATAGTACCCTTTTACTATATAGGATAGAGGCCTGGTGCATGGGTAGGGGCCGGCTGGTTTGCCCTGAAGGGTGTCCTGGATCAGGGTGGGGGTCCCCACTGGGGTGCCTGGTCAGTCTGGTTGAGGGGCTGAGGGCTGTTTTCCGGAAGCGAGTGACTGAAGCTTCCAACCGCTCCTTGTTTTCTTTTTTTTTTTTATTCTGGGCCAGCTTTAGCTCTGAGGCCTCGCCTCTGAAAACATCGATACAATGTTGCTAAAGCCCGGCTGAATGAAAGCCGGTTTCTGGAGTTTTGTTTAGCTTCTTATTTGCAACATAGTACATAGTTGCTTAGAGTTGCAACTGAGAGGCCGGCAGCGGCAGGCAGGGAACATTGGAGTCCACAGTCACTGAACCAAGCAAGCCTCCCTGCTCGCTTCAGTGCCTGGCTGCCGGCCGCCATCTTGGCTGACAGTTAATTTGCATATACTCACTGATTAGCCAATGAAAAGGGTAGCGGTCGTACGCTAATTACCATGTTTCTCTTTGTTAGTGTAGATACATAGTAAACTACCTGCCCTATTCTGCACTTTTAGACGTTCTAGGGGTGTTGAGATATCACCCTATGCTGTGATCCAGGTTGTAAAAATTTTTCCAGATGTTCGTATGGCTGCAGCCCCAGTAGATACTCCTTAAATGGTGGCCAGGCTCCCAACTGCCCTCAAAGAAGCTTTCTTCTCACCTTAACTTCTCAGCTCAGGAGCATCTGTTGGGTGCCTACAGCCCATGAGGAAGGGATGAAGATGGCCACCAAGCGCATCACCCAGGAGACCTTTGATGCAGCTGTTCGTGAGAACATCGAGGAGTTTGAGATGGGGCCAGAGGAAGCAGTGAAAGAGGCTGTGGAGCAGTTTGAATCACAAGGTAGGGTGGTATGGCTCCGTCACAACGCTGATCCAGCTCTTTGCCTGACAGTCCCCTCTGGTCCACTGCTCTTAATGTGTGAGAGTGCTGTCCTGCTGTGGCCCCACCTCACCTGACATGGCAGTCCTGGGCTGTGTACCCTCTCCGTTTTCTGACCTGGGCAGGCTGGCTACCTGCTCTCACCTCCCTCGCACCTACCCTCTACTTGCCTGGGCCTTTCCCAGACATCTGCAGGGCTGGATACTTCAAGGTGGGTTTCATTTTAATTGTCACTTGAGTGAAGAGACTTTTCCTGACCAGGTCCCAAGAAACAGGGCCACCTGCCCCCCCACATCCTGGCTTGAGCTCAAGAAGGCATAAGTGGGTGTCAGTCACCTACCTGTAGAAACAGGTGTCATGCTCAAACCAGGCCACAGAGGGGAGTGGTTTCAAAAAGAGTTGTTTGGCCCAGACTTAGCAGCCATGTCCATATGGAGGTGCGAGGTGAAGGGGGTGGGTCTTTACTCCTCAGCCCTGCCCAGCCAATGGGAGTAGAACAGTAGTGAGGCTGCATGCCATCACTGCAGCGAGAGGCACATTCTGCCTGGTGGGCTAAGAGGGGAGGGGATCCCACAGCCTTCTCCCTTGGGGCTCCTGTTATTCCTCACCCTGGCTGTATCCCTGCCCTCACTGGAAGGATACTTCTGGGTAGTCCTCCAGCCATTATCCACTGACTATATCCCACTGTGTGCCCAGGACACCAGCCTCTGACCTCTGAGGCTGAATACCTGGTCTCCCTTGCCCTCTGGCATCTCACTGGGTTTGGCCAATGGGAAGTCCAACTCTTAATCTGAAGTGATAGAGCCGGCGTTCATTTCCAGCTCCCTGACTCACCCTTTGTCAAATGACCCTCGCCCCCCACTGTGGCCTGTCCTGGGGTGGGAGAGCTCCCTACCGTGGCTTATAGGTTCTCCAACCTCCCAGCCACACCACTACAAACAACCCGTTTTGTTTAATATTTTTTAAAATTGATTTCAGAGAGGATGGGAGAGGGAGAGAGAGAGAGAAACATCAATGATGAGAAAGAATCATTGATGGGCTGCCTCGCACACTGGGAATTGAGTGCCCAGGCATGTGCCCTGACTGGGAATCGAACCTTCTGGTTCATAGGTCGATGCTCTATCACTGAGCAACACCTGGCTGGGCCAAACAACTCCCAGAAGTCCTCCTGAGTGGGTGGGACCAACAGAAGGGACATGAGGTGTGATCCTGGCAGGCCCATCGGGATGATGGCTGTCACTTGTTTCCTCACTTCTGCAGGGGTCGAACTGAGCAACATTATAAAGATGGCACCCAAAATCTCTGCAGATGGACTTCAGGAGCCTATACACGACATCCTGCAGGTAGGAGGGAGTGGCCCATGTGGGCAGGGCTGACCTGACATGCCTGTCACCTTGTAATAGTCTGTCAGAGGCACCTTTTCCCTGGTTTCCACTCGGCACATATAGGCTCTGAAGGTCAGGGAATGCCCAGCGTTTGCAGGTGGGCCTGAGTTTGCATCTAGGGATCCCTGAGTCCATGTCTGAGGATCTCTTGGGGGTGGAGGGCACCATGGAGGAGCCTCTTTTTAGCTTTCTGACCACCAAGTTTGCTCAGAGAGAGTGGGATCATAGTAAGGCTGTCATCTTTGACTATTTACCAGAACATTACAGCCTTTCCCCTTAGCACTTAAACTGGCTTGTAGAGTAGGCGGTATTGTTCCTGAATTACTGATGGGGAAATGGAGACTCAGAGCCTGCCCCGGCTCTCCAGCAACCCAAACAAGGAAGGTATAGCTTACAGTGGTTAAGTCTTTTCCTTAAGGTCATCCATCAAACAGTAGTAAGCTGTTGTAAAACAACAGAAGGTTCTAGTGTTTATTGAGAACAGGCTGTGGGCTCAGTTCCGTGCAAAGTGCTTTCTTTGTGCTATCTCAGTTATTCTCCCAAAGACACCTGTAAGGTTGGGATTATTATTTCCATTTTTCAGATGGTGAAATTGAGATCCAAAGAGAGTAAAATGACTCTACTGGCAGCAAGGGAGTGTAATGATAAAAGAAGTTGGAGGAGCAGCCCTGGGTGTGATCCCAGCTCTGACTAGGGCAAGGTGCTTATTTCTCCCTTCCTCAGAGTCCTCACCATCTCCTGCCTTATAGAGGTTATGTGAAAATCATCTTGTTTTCTTTTGACTTTGCTAGTAAGGATGAGTGTATTTTTAAATGAGCTTGTCTTCTGGCAGTTTTTCTATTTGGTGGTTTATCGTTTTTTTTTTTCTTCTTATTGATTTGTAGATGCCCTTTGTATATGAAGGATCTCAGTAACAATGATCTCTAGCAGTCATTGAGTACTTTTGAAGTGCTCAGCGTTGTGCTAAATGGTTAAAACTCAATCTGTGATTAGCCCATTTTGTTGATCAGGAATATGAGGCTTCCCAAGAATAAATGACTCACCTGTGGTCACAGCCATTGAGGGGCCAAGCTGGGACCCAGACCCAGGTCCTTCTCCTGGGGAAGCCAAGCTCAGAAAATGGCTTGGAGGTCTACTACTAGCAGTGTAGGAAACTAGTTGGTTTGTAGCCTTTGTTCTTTTATTATTCTTAATTTCAGTTTTAAAGTTTTATTCTTCATTACAGAAGAAGAATGTGAATATGTTCTTGACATAAAAAAGTCAAGCAACTCTAGCTGGTTTGGCTCAGTGGATAGAGCGTCGGCTTGTAGACTGAAGGGTCCCAGGTTAGATTCTGGTCAAGGGCACATGCCTGGGTTGCGGGCTCGATCCCCAGTGTGGGGAGTACAGGAGGCAGCCGATCAATGATTCTCTCGTCACTGATGTTTCTATCTCTCCCTCCCTCTCTGAAATCAATAAACAAATATAAAAAAGTCAAACAATACTCAAGCATTTATAGTAAAATCTGAAAGTCCCTGTCCTATACATCCTACCAGCTTCCTTCTCACCCTTTCCTGTGAGTGGTGCCACACACATTGGGGTTCGAATCTCCTAGCCTTGTTCTCACCTTGCAACTTAACCAAACCCTTCTTACATACCATGGCACCATTGAGCTCTGCTTGTGTGTTGTGGTTCTGATGCATGAAAAATGCTTGACTTTATGCTCTGTGAAATAAGCCAGACACAAAAGGACAAATACTGCAAAATTCCACTTACATGAAGTTCCACAAGTAGTCAAATTCATAGAGACAGAAAGTAGAATGGTGGGTGCCAATGGCCATGGCTAGCGGAGGTGAGTATGGGGAGTTAGTGTTTAAGGGAGACAGTTTCAGTTTGGGAAGATAATTTCTGGACATGGATGGTGGTGATGTCTGCCCAATGATGTGAATGTACTTAATGCCACTCAACTGTGTAATAAGAAATGGTTAAGATGGTAGATTTTATGTATATTTTACTACAAAAAACAAAAACTGAGGTTGTGTCATTTAGCAGGAACCCTACAAGGAACTTGAAAAGCATATGACACAAGTGCCATTGAGAACACATAATACTAGTATTGCAATTATTCTATATTTAGTCAGAGAAGAGAGGAAAAGAAAATGCGTGTTAGCTCTGTGGCGGGGAGGGCTCGTCAAAGAAACAGTGGCCTCTGCCAGCACTTCTGTCTGGGGGAAAGCTGCCTCTCCAGCTCTTGCCCTGATTCCAGACAAGTTAGTTTCTCCCTGTATGTCCCTGGTTTCTTTCAAGCTGCTACCCTGTGTGGGGTCCCTTTAAGAGGAACTGCCTAGGTCTACAGCAACCTCCATGTAACTCAGCTACAATCCCTGCTGGTTTAAAATTTTTATTTATTTATTTATTTATTTATTTATTTATTTATTTATTATTGATTTCGGAGAGGAAGGGAGAGGGAAGGAGAGATACAAACATCAATGAGAAAGAATCATTGATCGGATGCCTCCTGTACATCCCTGAATGGGGATGGAGCCTGTAACCCGGACATATGCCCTGATCGGAATCAAACCGTGACCTCCTGGTTCATAGGCAGACACTCAACCACTGAGCCACGCCAGACAGGCCCTGCTGGTTTTGACAGCCCCAAAATATGGGGATTTCTCTTCATACCACTGGAACCCTGGGCTGGGGGACCTGGTGTGAGGTTGAGACCCCTCGCTCCAATAGGGAAAGCTCCACAGCCAAGATAATCCCTTCCAATTTTAAACCACTACACGTGGGTGTGGGGCCAGCTGGTTCCGCACCTGTGCCCCACATGTCCACCCCACATCTCTGCCCCTCCTACCAATCTTGATGTGGCTTCTTTTTTTTTTAAATTTAATTTTATTGTTTAAAGTATTACAAATAGTAGTACATATGTCTCCTTTTTCCCCCCATTGACCTCCCCCCGGCCTCCCTTAGCCCCAGCACATGCCCTCACCTCCCCACCCTCCCGTGTCTTGAGTCCATTGGTTATGCTTATATGCATGCATACAAGTCCTTCAGTTGATCTCTTACCCCCGCCACCAACCCTCTCCTGCCTTCCTGCTGTAGTTTGACAGTCTGTTCGATGCTTCTTTGTATCTATTTTTGTTCATCAGTTTATAATGTTCTTTATATTCCACAAATGAGTGAGATCGTGTGGTATTTATCTTTCTGGCTTCTTCTTTAATTCCCTAGTTGTAGGACTTCCATTCAGCCAGATTTCAGGCAGTTCTGAATATACTAGTAGTTGTTCTGTAGTTGTAATTTTGACGTGGTGTGGGAGGAGGCAAGTACCACATTTACCTACACTGCCATCTTGACTAGAACCTAAAAATACTGTTTTTAAATACGTTTTTTATTGATTTTAGAGAGAGTGGAAGAGAGAAGGAGAGAGAGAAAAAGATCTATAAGTTGTCTCCTGCACGCCACCTACTGGGGATCAAGCTCTTAATCCGGTCCTGTGCCCTGACTGGGAATCTAACTGGTGACTTTTTGCTGCTTGAGACGACTCTCAACCAACAGAGCTAGCCGAGGCTCTTTAAAAAATATTTTTATTGATTTTTGGTGGAGAGAGAGAGTAAGGGAGTGGGAAAAAGAGAAAAAAAAAATCCACGTGAGAGCGTAGCATTGATGAGCTGGGTCCTGCATGCCCATACCAGGGATTGAGCCTACAACCCAGGCACGTGCCCTCACTCAGAGTCATACCGGCAACCCTGTGGTGCAGGTGACGATGCCCAACCAACTGAGCCACATCGGCCAGGGCTGTACCATAGCCTTTTAAAAAAACATCCTATCTAATAAAGAGGTAATATGCAAATTGACCATCGCTCCAACACACAAGATGGCCACCCCCATGTGGTCAAAATGGCTGCCCCCATGTGGACACAAGATAGCTGGCAGGGGAGGGCAGTTGGGGGTAACTGGGCCTGCAGGGGAGGGCAGTTGTGGGCGATCAGGCTAGCACAGGAGGGCAGTTAGGGGTGACCAGGCCTGCAGGGGAGGGCAGTTGGGAGGGACCAGGCCTGTAGGGGAGGGAGGGCAGTTGGGGGTGACCAAGTCTTCAGGGGAGAGCATTTGGGGGGGACCAGGCCTGCAGGGGAGGGAAGTTAGGGGGACCGGGTCAGCAGGAGAGGACACTTAGGGGTGACCAGGCCTGCAGGGGAGGGCAGTTAGGGGCAATCGGGCCGGCAGGGGAGCAGTTAGGCATCTATCAAGCTGGCAGGGGAGGGGTTAGGGGGTGATCAGGCTGCCAGGCAGAAGTGGTTAGGGGCAATCAGGCAGGCAGGCAAATGAGCGGTTGGGAGCCAGCAGTCCTGGATTGTGAGAGTGATGTCTGACTTCCCGTTTAGGCCCAATCCCAGTCGGACATTCCTCGAGGGGTCCCAGATTGGAGAGGGTACAGGCTGGGCTGAGTGACACCCCCCCCCCCCCCCGGGGAAGAAATTTGTGTACTGGGCCTCTAGGGGAGGGATGGGGAACCCTTTGAAGTTTGGGGGGCAGCATTTTGAAAAACCCTAACTTAACTTTGGTACCGTGTCACATATAGAAATTTTTTTATATTTGCAACGATAGTAAAACAAAGACTTATATTTTTTATATTTATTTTATACTAGAGGCCCGGTGCACAAAAATTTGTGCACTTGGGGGGTCCCTCAGCCTGGCCAATGCCTTCTTGCAGTGTGGGACCCCTCGGAGGATGTCCACCCCAATGGGGACCCTCACTCCATGGAGGTTTGGCCAGCCTGGGTGAGGGGCTGATGGCTGTTTTCAGGCTGGCCACACCCCCTTTGGGGTGGGGGGTCCCCACTGGGGTGCCTGGCCAGTCTGGGTGAGGGACTGAGGGCCATTTTCAGGCTGGCCAAGCACCCTGGCGACATAAGCTCCCAGCCTCTCCTTTTTTTCTTTTTTTTTTTAATTCTGGGATTTATTTACCTTCTATAATTGAAACTTTGTTGCCTTTAGCGGAGGCCTGCGGAAAGCCTGGCTTCCTCCATCGCCAGGGGCAACCCACTCCTGCTGCTCCAGCTCTGTGGCCATGGCTGGCTGAAAGCAGGTATCTGGGGTTTATTTACCTTCTATAATTGAAACTTTGTTGCTTTCAGTGGAGCTCGGAGCCAGGTCACGGCAGGCGGGGAAGCTTGGCTTCCTCCATCACTGCAGCAAGCAAGCCTCCAGCTCGCTCCAGCTCCGTGGCTGCTGGCCGCCATCTTGGTTGGGTTAATTTGCATCTAGTCGCTCTGATTGGCTGGTGGGCGTGGCTTAAGGTGTAGTGAAAGTACAGTCAATTTGCATGTTTGTCTTTTATTAGTATAGGAAATGAAATGCCATTGACCAGGAAAAATCAACCAAAAATGA